CCAGGTATGTCGAATATTTTGTTCAACATAACGAACACTTGGGAACTTTCAAGATATACAAATGCATAACTCGAAGACAAACATTACATGTTAGTTTTAATTGGAAATTCTAATTTATTTATTTTTTATTTCAAAAGCCATGTACATATAAAGAGCTAGGATTTAACTTCCATACAATGCATTAATCCCAGCAAGATCATCTGGGTGCAGATTTCTTTTGATCTGATTCTCGCCAATGGTAGGGTACATAATCGCATCTTTAATGCTTGAATGTCCGAGACCAAGAACATGCCCAATTTCGTGTACAGAAACGCTAACCATGTCGTGCATATGAGGACTGGCACCATTTGTCCAAGCCTCATCTGCGTCAAAATGAATTCGGCCATCCCCCGGAGAAAAAGCATGCGCAAGTGTACCGCCTGGTCCATCAAATGGATATCCATCGCCATGGTCACCCCGAAAAAAACCAATTCTAATATCTCCATGATATTCATAATCATAATCAATTTCGGAAAAGATGAAAGGTGTCTTGTTGGACCATATAACAAATGCCTGTTCAATAAAATCCATACCTTCTGAAGGAAAATCATCTATAAATACATACATAAGGTTCGTTGTATTCCATTTGACAAAACGATCTCGGAAGAAGAAAGAGTACAGTGAATTATTAAAGGTTTTGGTGCCGCGTTTCATGGTATTGGAGCCTTTGATTATGTCGGGAACCCCACATCGTGGAACCATCATTTTGGACAAGGTATCGGAATCTAGAATTCCCGTAGTGTCCAGGTGGTAGTTGAGTTGGTAAGTAATGATCGCCGATTCCAACTCACCATCAAATTTATCATTGTTCAGATCAAGAGTATCGAGATAACCATATCGGTGAAGATACCTCTTGACTGGAAGTAGTCCGTGATCACCCTTGACATAACCCACAAAGTGTTTGAGAGATTCGAAGTCAGAAGAGCTACACAGGGAGTGGCATAAAAATATGATGAAAAAGAAAGTGGGAAGTGCTACAGCTGCCATGAGTGATTATGTAGGAAAGTATTTTATCAGAATGTATTTGCTGGAGTGATGAATACATAGAGAAACTCCTGTATTTATGGTGTTATAATTTGGTGGGGGGGGGGGGGGGGGGGGGGGGGTTGAGGCTTTGTTCTTTTTCTATTATTTTTTTCCTTTTCTTTTTCTTTTTTCTTTTCTCACGGAAAACTATCTTAAGCCAGTTGACAAGGATAAATTTAGAAAAACAGTTTCAAGGAAAGGTATAATCATTAAAAAGGAACAGATTCCATTAATCTGTATCAAACTCAAAGTTTGTAGATTCTTCCATTTTTTTCTTATTCTTCTTCCTTCTTGTCTTAGCAACTCACTCCATAAGCAGCAGTATCGTGCAAAACAACCAATCAACCAGCTTAAAGACATCACGATTCGAGTTCTCCAAAACTTACAAGGTTCTCTAAAGCGTGACCACTTGAAGGACTTCATCAAGACAAGAAACACCTCAATCGATTCAGTTATCTTGATACTCTTGATCCTAACAAGGATGATTTCGATGGTGAATTAGAGTTTGCAATCAAGACTTTCCAACTCAATCACAACCTTCATCTCACGAGAAAATGATGATGCCTTGATGTGGGGTACGTACCATGTTACAACCCACATTTTTATCTAGTCAAAGTCAATAGTGGAATTTTCAAAGTCAAGTCCAATGAGGACTTGTATGAAATAAATCATTTTTATTGGGACTTGATTGACCAAATCATTTTATTTGGGTTTATTTCGCAATTGGCAAAATATGAAGGTTGAATTGGATATATTTAAAAGTTTGGAATTTATATATATACTTTTGGAAGTTTAAGGATTAAAGGTTACTAAAAAGTAAAGTTAAGGGACTTAATTTGCAATTATGGGATTGTGGACAATTAATTCAACCTTTGACCCATTTTTTTTCTCATTTTCACACCAAAACACACACACCCCCTACGAGAAGCAGAACCAGCCGAGAAAGAAGAGAAAAAGAGGAAAAGAAAAAGGGAAAAAAGGAAAAGAAAAAGGAAGAAGAAGGGGAAAAAGAAAAGGGAAAGAGGTAAGGTTGATATCTTCAAGTTGGGTTAAATTTTTCCATTTGTCTTAGATGATTAAGTATGGTTTATATTAAAATTTTTAGGGTTTTATCATGTAATAATAAAATGTTAAATTTATGTGATATATGTACGATTTGGAGCTCAAGCTTAGGGATTAATTATGTTTCAATTTTAACAAGGTGTTTAGGCAATGAAAATTTTGGAAACCCTAGAATCCGATTTTGGGGATTTTAATTAATTAATTGTGGAAGTGATTATATAAATGGAATATTTCATTTGGGAGTTGATTTTAAGGAGCAAATGTATATTAGATGGGTGGAAATTATGGTCACTAGTTTCATTAAATTGGAAAGTAAAATTAGTTTTAACTTGGGAAGAAGGTTTTGTTGATAAATTAATTATTAGAAAAGGGATTAGAAAGTGGGATTAGCTCCATTGATCAAAAGAATATTTGGGAATTCATTCGAGCATCGACCAATTTTGGTTAAGTATTATAGAAGTAGATTTTAAAGTTTCTTAATTTAATAGTAGTTGATTAGCCATCTTGTTATGTATTCCAGGTGGTGACGAGGAAGTTGGAAGAGCCTATCGACCAGTTTAGGTTCAGCTTGTGTTATGTGAGTGGATAAATTTA